TCCTAATACAAACATCTTCTGCTGTGTAAAATATTACGGCTCCCCGGTGATAATTTACTGGGGTATTTTTTTATTTTTTGAAAAGTTGGGATATTTTTTTTATATATGGCAAAAGTTGGGGCATTTTTTTATTCTCTCTTTTACTATACATATTTAGGAACATTTATGCATTTAAATTTAGGCGGCTTTGCCGCAGATAAATATAGTCAGTTTTGAGTTTGAACCGAAGAGTAATTAGCATTGGGCTAAGGCTATAATTACTCTTGGAGTAAGCGGATTGCGATCCGCTAAATATAACTACTGGCTATCCAGCCCCGTACTGTATTCTTGTTTAAGTGTGGTCACGCCTTGCCCATCTGGTGTGACACACACCCCTGTTACCAGGGTATGTGTAACCCCGTTACAACCAGGGGAAGAAAATAAACAATCGTTTGTAGAAGTTAAGATCTTATTGCTTCTCTAATCATTGCCCTTTGGTCCGTCACCGTCGGCGCAATGTTCATCACGACTCGCGGTAAAAATGGGGTTTTAGACACACTTCATGCCAGAGTCTGCTGTGTCACTTGATCCTTTTGCGGTATTATCTACGAGGACTGGAAGACTGACCGGATGCTTGTAGACTTCAGACGGGTGTGTTACACGCGCATTGACGGCTCATCTTTGCACATATACACGGTCTGTCTTGCTCTGTATGTTTGGAACTCTAGGTTCTAAACGTGGCCTTGAGAACATGCTCGAAGCCACAGCACGTCCTCCAGTTTGCAAGGAAGAGTGTACCGCCGCGGCAAGAACGAAAGGACCAACCTCTCCTCGACAAGTCGACTCACAGTTTTAAGCCGACGAAGACCACGGCAAAAATGCTTGACGAAGATGGTGATGTCATCATGACTAACCCAAGCCGATGTACGAACTAGTGTTGTCGCCGCGTTTGACGAGATGGAACCGTTAAAGTGGCGCCCTCAACGCAAAGATTTTGAGGAGAAGGTTCGTGCCCAACATACAATCACAAACGAGGACTATAGCAGCACGGTTTTCGCTGTCAAGGATGACGTCGACCGGCGATTGCTCAAGCATCTCGCTTGAGTTATGTTCCGCTGACCAATCTGACTGTTTACCGACGCAATGATTTTGGCTGAGACCGATGAAAGATGACGTAAATTCGATGGAACATCCCAACCTTGGAGAAAGTGAGCAGCGATTTGCACAAATCATCACCCGCATTCGCGGTGCGGATCAAATCCGTCATGGACGACGTCACCGTCGTGACATGAGCGAGCTCATAATCTGGGCATCAGCCAAAGCATTCTGCTTTCCTGGCTTATACTTCGCCTCAAAGTTGTATTCTGCGAAGAAGGAGAGCCACCTGGCAATCCTCTGCGGGATGTCAGGCGACTGGGTCGCAGTGCGTAGTGACGCATGATCTGTGTAGATTGCGAACGGCTTAGTGTCGAGTAGGGGAATCCTGAACTTGACCAATGCATACTTCATCGCAAGTAAATCTTTGTTGTGAACTGGGTAAATCTTTTCTGCAGTCTTGAGCTAACGATATTCGAATGCGATCATCCGATCTCACCCCTCGGCGTCCGCTTGCAGCAGTGCACATCCGATGGCAAAGCCCAAAGCGTCACAGACGACACAAAAGGACGATCAGGTCTGGCAACGTCAGTATTGGTGCATGGAGGAGGTCTTTGATTCGGTTACACGTACCTTGATAATAGGGGTGTGTGTCACACGAGATGGCATGGTGTGACTGCACCCAAACAAGAATACTGTATGTGGCTAGGTAGCCAGTAGTTATGCATGTATTTGGATTTTACTACATATATTTAGGAAGATCTAAACATTTAAATTTAGGCGGCTTTGCCGCAGATAAAGTAAATAAAGATTCGTTTTGAATTTTAAAAGGAAGAGTAATTAGCCTTGGGTTAAGGCAATAATTACTCTTGGAGTAAGCGGATTGCGATCTGCTAATTCGTACTTGTTTCTAAGTATAGAACGAAAGGTCGGTGACCTAAATTACGCTTCCACTAAGCGCAACGCTACGGCAGCCCCGCTGCAGTGTGCATGCACTCGAGCACCGCTCTTAAATGAACGATAATATTCTATTCATCTATTCTTCCGTGCCCCGCACAGCTGTGGACAAAGATGTTGTCGAAGTATGTCTGTGCATCGCCCGACGGGGCCTGAACAACTGCGTCACAAGATGATTGGATGTTGCTGGCGCATTTGACAGCCCTTGGGGCATCACCAGCCACTCCCAGAAATTCTTACTTGAAGTACTCACCGCTGTCAGTGGAATATCACTCGCTCTCATGAACAATATGTAACACCCATCGAACAAGTCAAGCGCACTGTACTCTGTACATTGAGCCATATTGTTCTGTAGAACGTCCTTCCTAGGAATCGGCGTTTGTGCCGGAATGGTGGCAGCAGTGAGCTTATTGTAAGCACGAACGATACGTTACTTGTCGTACGGCTTCCGCACACAAAACGTGGATATCGAATGGGGAGACTTGCTTTCATGCACCATTCCTGTGGCGTGCTCTGCACGAAATAAGGCGTCAATGACTTCACATTGCTCCTTAAGTAGGGGCCATTGGCGTGTTATGCAATATTTGGTTCCCAGAACCAGGTCGATCTCGTTACGCACACCTCGGTCCGAAGGTAGGGCCGACGGCGGATCTTTGGAGATGACGTCTTGACATTCCTTCACCAAAGGATCGTACGGATCCGAAGGATTTTTCAGGATCGAATATTCACTTTGATGCCCATTACTCTCTTGGTGTCCTTCAGGACAGCTTCATCTAGAGGCGACTGCGAGTTGATCTCCTCTTCCGGTCGTATAATAACCACTTCGGCTAAGACGCCTATTGCCGAACTCTTCGAAGGACATTCCGTCCAGCTCAAAGAAGCACCCACCGCAGGAATAGCCTGGAGGGTGAGGGCGCCGTCCCCATCCCTTGTTAAACCGTTGATGAGGGTGTATATATGTGCGCTATTGTCTACGGTATACACATCTTGGGTCAGGGTCGACTCCAGGCGTCTTGCAGAAAGCATACGGCGTCGCCGACGCCTCCCCAAAGAGGCTGTAAGTCTCGGCGAGAACAGTGTGAACACGCACTCAACGTCGTCCAATATTAGCTTCGCTTCCTGCTCCACTGGAGCCCTGAAGTTATTAGCAACATCCGACGAAGAGCTGCTATTTTCGCAGTCTTTTCGGCGGATAACGTGTCCCTTCATGCGCATCGGAAGGGCCTTGCCCAAGGCGCCTCAGACATCGTCCACAATGCCACTCGTAGCATGCAGCGACTGATTCGAGACGTAATCAGTGCTCAGTGGATTTTGTGCCACTACACGTTCAGCCCGCGAGCCATGCTCAAAATACACCACCAACTAGAATACTACGATCTCCAGCACGTTGGCCGTCTCGGTCCAGTGCCCGTGTCAATAGCGTTTTTGCTTTCTAGCAAAGGTGGGTTCATGACTCACCAAAGCTCCACAAGATGACGTGCGCGTAACACTCAATGACATTCAACCTCCAGTCGATCCATTGCGCATGGTGTTCTAACCATGCCATACTAAGGAACAGGTCATACCTAGAATCCAAGTCTAAACTAACACGCTATCAAAGTCAAGAAACTTGTGACCGAGGTCCGCGGGGACCATCGACACCGTGACATGTGTCTCAGTCGCTAAGCGAACGAGAGACGATGTCACACAAAAGCGCTCTCAGCGCCCAGCATACTGCTGACTTCCTTCCATCGTGGAGCGTCGCGAATAATTGCCCGACGCCTCGGAGTCGATCAGAATCATGCATGCCTTCTCAAAGTCTTTCACGGTCGCTTCCACGGCCAGCAACCTCGGCCTGCATACACGTTCCGTGCTCAAGAGCACTGAGCACTTTGAGGCTGGGCCCTGCTGACCTCTACCTCCTTGAGGCTCAGCTCAGTTCTTCACTATTAGGCTACCCCGCGCCAACTGGGTGTTGTCATTCCCCGCGGCAAACCTGAAGACTGGTAAGAAGCGGCATGTCGGTTCGAAGAACCTTGACGCGCCTTGCGCAGGGAACAACCAATCAAAAGATGTCGGCGGGTGTCTTGTCTCCACAGACAAAGCACCGTCAAATGTTTGAACGCTGCTCGACAGCTCGGAGCTCTGCTTCCTCGTCATCGAGGTGCTAGGGTGTACTTTCCAACAAAGTCGTGCCGACTTAATGTTGAATCCGCCAATTAATGCCACATTTACTGCTTCTTCAAAAGAAGAGGCACACGGAAGACCTCAAGCCTGCCCACGCTACCGCGGAGGCCCTCTATAAAGACGGTCAGTGTGAGCGCCTCGGATGCGATATGCCTGGTCTAGCGGCGAGAACACTCGTGAAAGCTGCAGCTTCAGCTCCGTTAGG